TTGAGCCCTCCCTTTGAAGCTCACAGCTTCCAACTGCCAGCCACAGCACACGGTCCTTCAAACAACCAAACAAACAGACTGACAAACACAAGCTCAGCACACAGCAAGTAACCCCCAAACACAAACAAACACACACTACAGACAGTCACTTACCCCAAGGGTCCTGTATTTGCTCCTCCTTCACCTGGAGAACTCCCTTGCGAAACTCCCTGTTAGCAGCCCCTGTTCGCAAAAGCCTTGCTTCGCTTTCCATGCCTCTGGTGAGGGGAAGGGAGAGAGATCCTCAGTTTATTCAAGACTCCGTAAGTGGAGACCATTCTACATACCCCTCTGTCCCTATTTTTTTTTTTACCATTCAAAGGTGTATATACAGCACCATAAATGTGCATGATGCATTACAGAAAATGAAAACCTGTTTGATTTTCAAAAGTGCTGAGCTTCTGCAGTTCCCATTGAGCCTGGTCCTGTTCTTGGTTATTCTTGTGTAAATCAAAAGTAATTCCATTGAAGCCAATAAAGTTATTCCAGATTTAAACTGGAAAAATGATTATTAGAATCTAGCCCATTGACTTAATTGGGTTTTGTGCTCTTGGTCTCTGACAAACAGGCCAATAGCACCTGCTTATAAACTATATGTCTGTAATATCATTCAAAACATTCTCTTTTAAAAAAGAAAAGCAACACTTCCTAAGAAGGCTTCAGATTTGAAGTGTTCAGACAGGCCAGTGGCTGGTGCCATAGGGCTTGCAGGAGTGGCTACTATAGCACATGGTGGGAATTCTGTGAGCTCAGGGCAACCTGATATCGGCTACAGGGCAGCTTCCACACTAGTGCTCCTTCTGCGTGCATATGGGTCTGTGCTAGTGGTACTGCTCTTTGCTGGACTCCGCAGACGTTCCTGATGGTTTTTTCCATTAATGTGTATTTTCATGTTGGCTTTGCTTCTGAATTCCCATGCAGATTGGAAGGAAAAGCATTGAATGATAGTTAGAGGTCATTGCCTCTTTCGAAGTGGGAACCTTAGGCTTGTGTTTCCAGTACTGCCGCATTGAGCCCTACATTTCGAGAGCCCCCACACGGCATGCAACTATCCAAATGGTCAACCTGAGTACGATGCCCAATTCACTTTGATATCTGACACTGTCCCCAGAAGACTGAATTCCTTAACTGCCCCATCTCGATTCTCTACCTGAAAAGTTACACTTGAGTTCCATCTCCTGGCTTCCCAGCCCCTGCAGAGGCATCACTAGAACCACAGAGCTTATCAAAGCAGTGAGATGAGAGGAAAGAGGTCTGGGCGGAGAATGTGTGGATTGAGCACATTCCTGAGCAATCTATGCCAGCCGGGCTCCTATGAAGCCCCAAGAAGAGTTAAAGATGCCTGCCCTCCTTAGGGGTAATTCCTCCCTGTTATGCAAGAGGTCTCGCTAGGACAAGGCCTTTCAAATGGCTTCTGCCTGTACCGGGAGGGTGAATCCATCCCAAAGAGCATATAGAATAGTCTGTATAATGTAGAGCTTCCTCCCCACCCCCCCTTTTTTTTAGGGAGTAAAAATTCCCCAGAAGTTAGATTGTATACATTATACGAAGATGGTAAATATTGTTTGCTTGAATGCAGCTGTGTTCCAGACAGTGGGAAATAAATCATCACAGGTGATTGAGTGCACATTGAACGAGAACATAGAATTCTTGCTGCGAGGAACCTCACTGCCACTAGCGCTCCCAAAGGGTCCTAGACCTAAATTTTGCCAAATAAAAGCTGGATTTTGGAAACAGGCCACAAAGTTTAAAAACAAATCACTCAAACATGCAAACACAATAAGTCAACTTTGTAATTCCTGTGTAGCCTCAAAAAAAACCCAGGTATAGGAGGATTGGTGTTGTGATGTCACTTAGCCAGTACTGAACCTATGCTCCTGCCCGCATGATATTAAGGGCCATTGTACTGCTGCAAGAGCCATCCTTTGGAGGACATGTTAAATGCAGTGTATGCGAACAACTGAATCAGTGGTGGGTAGTCTGTGAATACAAAAAAAAAAGGAGGTTCTTTCTGTGACACCTTGGCAACCTAGTATTCACCACTTTCATATAATTAGGATATGTTTTGTACAAACTATGCCTTGTGAGGTATCATTCTAAAAGTCTTGATCTCCTAGATATTAATATCTCATTGGATTGCATGTGCTATCATCATATGTGAAGTTATGAAGTTTGGCTATGTCTGTGTTACTGCCACAAGCAGCTTTTCAAGTACAACAGTAAAAAGGCCAAACAACATAAATAGCTTATTGAGGAAATGCACACAAGCACAAGCATTACCCCAGGAACTGTGTACAATAGAAGCCTCTCAGAGCTAGCACTGCACAATGGGAACTGTTTGACCCAGGTCACAGCGAAAGAGCTTTCCAGCAAGTGGGAAGAAGATTTAAAAGAGGGAAAATGACATCCTGTGGGTACCTCACTCTCCCTACAACAACACACCTGGAAACACCTGAGAAAAAAGACTGAATGGGGGGAAGTGATAGTCCCAGGCTAGAAGGATTTCTAGCCTGTGTATGAAAACCTGGGTAACCCAAGTCGCAAAACCAAGGCAGCTTGTGCCTTAAGACTCTGCCAGCCTGTTTATCACTCAGGGCGAGCATTTGCTAATTCATATCCTATCTATCTAGTATGTTAAGCTCCGTTTGTGGTTTTGTTTATTTACTAGGTAATGTGTTTTGATCTGTTTGCTAATCACTTGAAATCTGTCTTTTGTAGTTAATAAACTTATTTTATGTTTTAATCCAAACCAGTGTGCGTTTGATTAAGGTCTGGGGAAAATCTCAGCTCGATTACCACAAGTGTGCATCGAGGGAGAGGCGGGTTGGGTGTTAGACCCGTATACTGGTCAGATTTGACCTGGGCAGGATGGTACTGGTCTGGGGTCTGAGGTTGGTAGTTAGAGAACCTGCAGCTGGGTGTGTCCCTACCTATGTGAATGATGGTGAACGTGCTGCTGTGACAAGTTGCAATGCCTTCCAAGCTGAAGCTTGCACTGTGTGAGCGGGAGCCCAGGCTGGTGGGTCAGAGCTTTCAGTGGTACCCCATTTCCAGGTGGCACCCCAGGGGAAACCTGTCACGCTTACATCTTAGCTGATAGGACTCTATTGTGTCTTTAAGCTACAGCCCACGGAGATGCAGAGATTTGTTGGTCCATCAGAAGCTCCTGAAGGCAGTACACCTCCCTGAGTGGTAGGCAGAGTGGCTGCTACTGAACTCTTACAGGGAGCAGTATTCGCTTTTTCCTGTGCTGCTTGGACAGTTTCACAACCCAGTGTGCAGGTATGACCATAACCTTGCATTACACTGACCTTCCCCAACTCTTATGGAGTATTTAGCATTGCATCAGTTGTAGAGTCCCCAGGACATTACAACACTGGAAGCACAAGGGCCAACATTGTGGCTCACCCTTTGTTGGGGCAAAAGAGGGGGTTGGGAGGCCCTATGTGTCTTGTCCCCCCCCCCCCCCCCCCGCAGAGCTAGGCATAATCTAGGTCAATGTCATCAATTATATTTTCACCAATAGCTTCTCTTTCCACAGTGATGCATAACAGGGAAAGGAACCGCTAGGTGTGAGATGATGTTTGGATACAGCGGCTGGATGCTTAATGGGCTGTAAATGTCATGCCTTTTGCCTAGCCCCTTTTTTCATCATCATTTCTTCTATTTCTCATTTATTTCAATTGGCTGGTTTCTATCTGACAGACTCACAGTGACAAGAGGGCTGTCCAGTGGTTGCTAGGCTTGTCTCGACATTTGTTGTCTATTCGCCTCCATTTCTTCGTTAATTTAAGACACCGTTGATATTTTTTTCCCCTTTCAAACATAATGAACGACTGGATGTTCAGGGAGCTGTCAGCTCTATTGGAGTCTTTTGTCTTCTATTCATCATTATGTCTTCATTGTCCTCTTTAATTTAGCTGAGGCACTAGGGGGATCACTTACTGTGAAAGACAACATTGCCAGCTGTCCATAGGGATTTCACACATCTATTCATCATCCGGTGTGATGCTGCACTATATGTGCAGTAGTTCACATTATAAAGGGCAAAGCATGTTGGTCCTTTTCAGACACCCAACTTTTGAACTCTGGTGTCTAATTTAAGACACCAGAGGCTTTGTCTACAAACACTCGCCAGTTTATCTATTAAAAATGGATCAAGCTATATGGTTTATGCACAGACTTGGACTGGTTTAATTACATTGATTTAAAATACACCTTCAGTTATATAATGGTGCAACTTGTAATCTAGACAATACCTGAGTTTCAGGGAAGAGCTCAATGGGAGCTGCTTGGTGCTCAAACTATTGAAAATCAAACTAAGTGAAAATCTCTTAGAGGCCTACATATGGATCTAATAGGCACCCATTTTAAAAAATATTGGCCTAAACCCTAATTTATTTATAATAACCCACATCCTAAGAGGTACTCCTAATGCTTCACAAAATATTAAAACACACTGTTTTTAAACAGTTATTTATTAAAAAATAAGAATGATGAAAAATCAATAACCTACTTTGATTTTTGTATTTTTATTTTAATGAATACTATACCCCCCCCCACACACACACACTCTCACAATTCCAGACAATATACCTGGATTTCTAATAACAGCTTAATTATTTTAAATGAAAGAATTTTAAAAATCTAATTTATTTTGTATCATTTTACAAAATATGCTGGCTGTTTACTACTTGCATTTTACTCGGCTTGTACGATGAAAATCAGTCCGTTTCAATTTCACTTCAAGACCGTGGAGTTACTCTGGGTTTACATTGGCCTACCTAAGACCAGAACCTGGCCCTGGGCATGCAAATTCCATTGTTTATGTGCACGAATAGTGGTGTGCAAAACTCCAAGCACAAATCAATGCTTAATGCAGCTTAGCCCTCCCAGCTACCACTGAGAATCTAACCTACCATTCCTTGGTGAGCTAATTGGAAAAACCTGCCAAGGGTTTTCTCCAGCTCAATTTGGATGCTGTCAGCATCCTAGACCTCTGGCAAACAAGCTTCAGGTCAGGAGAGGGAAGAGATTGCGCTGGTGGCACAGATGGATGATCTTCATTTTGCCTGTGGAAAATAGAAATTACTGGACATACATCCATACTTATTGCAGGTCATCTCTGTAGCATATCGTACAGCTGGCCATTGATTGTTGCTGTCCCATCTCAGAGACAAGGCTGGAGTTAGCAGGATTGTGTTGAGGTGGCTTTAGTCATTTCGGTTTAGTCATTTAGGCTGCTCTCGGAGAATCATGACAACAGCCTGTTTCATGGCCCTCATGTAATTAAAGACTGCATCATAATGCATATGCACAAAGGGGCCAAATTAAGGTTGCACAGGCAACCTTAATTCTGGCCCTTCTTAACTTTTGAATACTTGACTTTGCAACCTTAATATTTTCTTAACTTCTCTGTGTGTTTGTCTATCTACCAGGGCCGGCTCCAGGCACCAGCGCAGCAAGCAGGTGCTTGGGGCGGCCAAGGGAAAGGGGCGGCACGTCCAGGTCTTCGGCAGCAATTCAGCGGTGGGTCCCTCAGTCCCTTTCGGAGGGAAGGACCAGCCGACAAATTGCCGCCGAAGAAGCGGCGGCGGTAAAGCTACCGCTGAAGTGCCGCCGATTGCGGCTTTTTTTTTTTTTCCGCCGCTTGGGGCAGCAAAAACGCTGGAGCCGGCCCTGCTATCTACATTTCATTTTCCAACTTACGCTTTCATATCAATTTTTTTTATAGATTACTCCACTGTCCTCATGGTGCTGCTTAAATCAGCTTTGAATTGAAGCTATATATACATATTATATTCAAAGCTGTCTGGCTAGTTGAAATTAGCTATATACTGTTCCTAACAACTTCAGAAGTTATTGATAATATATAGTTTTGGGGGGGGGTGGTTGGTTTTCTTTTCCCCCTGCTAGAAATCTCATAGCTGTTTGAATTTGAAAAGATTAAGATTCTGAACTTCAGTAGAAGGACAGAGCAATTTCAATTACCAAAATGTGGTACATTTTCAAAGCCATTGCATCTGATGTTGATCCCAAATGTAAGGCAATCCACTTGGCTCCGTCACGCCATACTGCCCTTAATCACTATTTCTGGTCCCAGTACGTACAGTCAATGGGGCTACTCAACTGAGTAAGTCCTATTCAGTGTAAGTAAGGGTTGTAGGATCTGTCAGTCTATATGAAAAATCAACCTAGTTTCGGTTTCCAAATTTATCAGTACCTCTGTTTAGAAAATCAACGTGACTTTTGCTTCCAAACTTATGCAAAGATTGTCATCCAGAGAAAGGCAATCTCCTTGCATTTTCAGCCTGGCTATTGCTCCATGTTTTGTATGCATTGAAAGACACAATTCTGGGGTGGGAGAGAGAAGTATTCCCTCCCGAACACATGCCCCCAAAACCCCAAATGATTTTAAAATGCTACGACCTCCCCCTGCAGTGTGTGTGTGTTTGATTGTTTTTGTTTTTTTTAAATCGTGTCCAAATTTTGCCCTGACTCACCTCAACAACTTTAATCAAATGGAATTGATTGTTAAGTCAAGGCAGAGTTTGGCCCATAGAGCTTGACTCAGTTTACTGTATAGAATTTTATGTAAGCATTACTGAGAAGGTTCGCTGGCAACATAAAGATGAGAGATTTCTAACTAAAACCCTGCTTGATGTTTTTCACCTGGCACAAGTCTAGTTCCTGTCTCCTAGAGAGGCATAAATTATCCTAATCCATTTAAATAGAGTGGTTTCTTACTTATCTAAATATACAAGAGCATGTAATTCATTATACACTCCAAGATGGAATTTACACTCAGTAAACACTTAAACACTATGGACAGCAATAGAATGGGGATAGTAAAGAAATGCAAATAATGCCAGCAGGCAGTCAGAAGCATGTGATATTATATCCCTGTAGCCAAGCACAATTCAAAATAATTGGCACATTACACTGATTTCAGGGTTGTGATTAAGCAGCTTTTGGGAGTGGGGGAGGTTCTTTTTATTTATACCACTTTGCTTTAGTCCTTTTTTAAAAAAAATCCTGTTTGACATAAGCTGTGAACAGGGCAATGGAGATATCGCAAGTGGTTTGTGCAATGAGGATCTTCTACTGTGTATATTTTGGTTAATATATTAATTAAGTTATGCTAAACATAGAATTGTGCGATGTCTGTTTTGGAAAATATTGTAATGAACTATCTTATGTCTGGTTTGTGCATACAGGCCCAGATCTTATGCCTTTCACTTCAATGAGTGCAGTAACAGAGCCAAGAGGCCCTGATCTTGCTCCCTTTGATATAAATAGGAAAGCACCTGCTTGTACTAAAAAAATCTTCCTCTCTCCTTTGTTTGCTACTCGGGACAAAATAAAAATGGGTCACTCCTCAGCGGGTTTTCATGATATATGTGGATTTCACCAACATCATTGTGAACCTCATTTGAATTTAATTTAAAAAAATCAGTGATGGTTACTTTAATTTAGGAGAAAACACAAATGATTTGCACGATACAAACTATGCAAGGTTCCTCATTTTACTAAGGGCTACTTTCTTTAAAATGGAAAAAAAGGAAAGACTGCAAGAGTGATCATTGTCACTGTGTATATAAACTGCTGTATCTGATAACATAACAAAGACTCCTCTTCCATTGCACAACAGAGGCAATAAAAGTGGCAATCCTAGGAGACCTCCCCATGCAAGTCAAATATGATTCTTCTGTTTTCATAAATTCCTTTGGCATTTATTCAGTGGAGAAGTGCTATTTATTGTCTTGGCTGGTATATCTGATGTCTTCAAGACATCTCTTAAAGAAGCCCTGAAGGATTTATACCGGAGCATGTTAAAATGACTCCTAAATGCCTTCACTAGTCTGGATGATGAAAAAGGTTGAACTGAAAGCTACGAGATATCAAGTGCTGTTTAGTGTTGACTATTTTTTATTGAGAAGAATTCAGGAGAATTCTCTCAGCATTCTATGTATAATCTCCTATCAGTTTTAGAATTTTGAATGCTATTCTCTCTTTGAGTGCCAAGTATGACATTATTCACAGTGTTTGCAGTGGTGTTGTAGCCGTGTTGGTCCGAGGCTATTATAGAGAGAAGGTGGGTGAGGTAATATCTTTTACTGGACTAACTTCTGTTGGTGAAAGAGACAAGATCTGAAGAAGAACTCTGTGTAGCTCGAAAGTCTGTCTCTTTCACCAACCAAAGTTGGTCCAATTAAAAATATTACCTCACCCTCCTCGTCCCTCTATTATTCATAGTGACATTTTGGAACCACATTTGCATTGTGCTTCTGATTTATTTTAACCTTGAGCAGAACAATGTGATTGTGATTAATTTTTACATATTTTTAAGAGGAAAAATATCTATGCAAGTTATTGAAAACACATCTTACAACTAAAACACATTTTTATCAGTTGCTGCATAAACTTCTGAACACAGTACTCTAGTGTTCACTGCAGGGGAGGAGAGGAAAGATGGCGTGTCTAAACATTTTTTCCACTTTCCCAAGATCTGCTCCACGCAGGAGAAAGGCAGAGTCGCCATGGAGCCAGTTTATGGCTGCCCGGTTCCCCAGCTGACCCAACTCCAACCCCAGCCCTGGCATAATTTAGAGCACCTTAGGGGCTGATCTAAGTTACGATGGCTGACTGTGGACCAGCTGAAAATTTTCAGAATAATACTGTGTTCCACCTACTTCTCCACCATCATTTTGAGACCCTTCCCTTGCCAGGAGACTTCTCAAGAGGACAGCTGTGGGCAGATCCCATCCCCTTTGTCTCCACTGGTTCTGGCCCCTTTGTGTTACCTGAGCAGCACAATTTGGTCCTCTCAGTTTAGCACAACCATTTGTATCCCTCATTTGAAGTCTTTGGGTCAAAAATACTACAGTGTTGAGTGTTATATAGACAGATGGATACCTGAGGTATCTGAACTTCACTTCTGCTATGCCAGTGGTGGGCTTTCCCCAAATACACAATCAAAAATGGGCCTGCTTAGTGGAAGTCTTGTGATATGGCCAAATAATGATTTGGGGCTAGACCAAGATCACCAAACTGCTTGTGATTTGCATTTGAGTACACACCACGGTTAACATCCACTGGGACACCCAACATTTGTCAAAAATGTATTTGTATCATTTTAAGACTCCTATTAAAGGATTGAATTTGCTCCACTGCTGGTAAAGACCCACTGTCATTTCCATGATAAACTAGCATTTTTGAACAGTTGATAATTTGGCTACAAATTTGCTGTGTGCTGGATTTTCACAGATAAATCGTGTACCTGGGAATTAATGTTTTCATCTTGAAAATCCCTCAAATAGCGCACACATACCCAATATATTTCTAAAATCTCCGGAGGATCCTTCATTGTCCATTGGATCTTTAATGCACATTTTAAATATTCTGGACCTATTTCTGTCCTCAAGTAAATCAATCAATGGATGAATTGGCTAACTAAGCACCGCAGAATCTCACTTACGGTTTATCAAGTCCCATGCACAATACAAGAATAATTTCTTAGTGCTGATGTTCTATGCCCTTGCTTTGTCATCTCAGTTTTGTGCCTGCCTTTCTGACCACAACCATGCCTGTATCAATGTGCTGTTTGCGGAGTCTGGATAAAATGTGTAAAACAAAGACAAGGGAACCAGTTTCCCTTTTGCTTACCTACATTACTTTCCTATGCAGCTGCCTCTTGGCAGGAGGGAAAATAAAATGTGACTTCTGTTTGCAATAAATAATAGATTTTTTTAATTCTTTTAATTTTCTAGACAGAATCATGAATAAACTGGCAGACAAGCAGGACCAGATGATACCATGAAGAGAAGTTTACAGGTCCTCTATTGCCAACTGTTTCGTAAGTAGAGATTTACTTTTTCATTTATTGTGAGAAATGTATGATTCAATGTCTCTCTAAAAATAGTAATCGAAGCACCAATTTAGGGAGGTCCTTAAGCATGTGCTAATTTTAAGCACATGAAGGGTCCCAATGAAATAAATGGGACCCTTCATGTGCCTAATGTTAGGCATGTGGTTTAAGTCCCTTGTTCAATCGTGCATTTGGAAGCACGTTCAGTCTTCAGCTGATTTAGTAGAGTCTCATTCGAAGGTGAAAATGGAGAGCAATAATCATCTAAACCATAAGAATTCTCAGAGGAATGAGCTGTAAGAAGGTTGGGGATGGTGGTTGGTAGCAGGAGGTACTGGGGTATATGGGCCCTTTAAGCGTAGAGTTGGGGGGGGGCTGTATACCCCAGTATGACCTGTTCCAAGGATTTGGAATGAACAAAGGCCCAGGTAATCTCCAGCCAGTTGAAGAGGGGAAGCGGGAGTTTGATGCAGGGGAAAAACCCTGGACACTATTCCTTTAAGGGGCCGTGTAGTATAGGGTGGGGTAGGGCTCTCTTTCAGCCATTCCGGTGGAGCACTCTGGAGGAAGGTAGTGTCTAGACTGCCTTGTCCCCAGGGCCGGCTCTGGCTTTCTGACCGCCCCAAGCAAAAAAAAAAAAAACCCTGCGGCGCGGCCGGAGCCAGGGTGCAGGGGGACTCCCTGCCCTGCAGATGTGCCCAGGCTAGCGGGGGGAGGGGAAGGGAGTGGGGGGGAGAGAGAGAGAGAGAGGAAGGGGGGCGGCCAGGGCTTCAGCAGGACGCTGCCATGTGGCCCCTCCCGCCGTGTGCCCATGCCGGGAGGGCTCCGCAACACTCCGGTCGGCTGGGAGGGAAGGACGCGGGCTGCCCTGCCGGGCTTGCTGCAGGGCGCTCCTGTCCTCCACGCTACTGCCCCCTACAGGGCGGTCGGAGCGGAACAACAACAACAAAAAAGCAGCCGTGCAGCCCTAGGATTGGGCGGAATGCCGCCTCCTACAAGCTGCCGCCCCAAGCACCAGCTTGCTCGGCTGGTGCCTGGAGCCGGCCCTGCTTGTCTCTCAAACAGGGGAGACACTGGCAAGAGAGGGAGGTCAGAGCCAGAAGGCTAAATTCCAGGGAGAGACAGATGTGAGCGGTGACCCTATGAAGAGCAGGCTGCAGGGCAAAAGCTCCTTGTGGGTGGCAGAAGAATCAGAGATAAATATGAACCTTTGGAGTGCAATGATGGACTTGGCTGGTCAAACTGGGTATTAAACCAGCCGAAAGCGGAGGGTGATTGGTCTTATAAAAGAGGCTGTGGGGAATCTGTAAAGGGCACTGAAAAGGGGGAAAAGCAGGAGGCTGCTGCAAAGGGATCTCTCTAGCCGGGAGGGGTTGCTCTGTAGTGGCAGCCCTGTTACACAGGATGTAATGTTTTGCTTCTGCATTGTTTGCTCAAACTGGCTTGGGTTGGTAATACAGGAAAGCTGTTACCAACTAATAACTGATTATTCAGTAATCTATGTGAAATGCATCAGTGGCTTCTGCCTACTTCTCAGTGGACAGAAAACCTCACAATAGCCAACCTTGGTGGTGGTCTCAACATAAAGACCAAAATCGGAATGGAAATGGAGACTGAATTACTCTCCCACACCTAGAGGTGGGCCCGCCAGATCATGGGTTAGGCAAGACAATGGGAAGAAACCTGGATTGCTGTTTTATCTGTTTGTAGATAGATGGAATCCATCTGTTCTCAGTGCTGTCAATCTGGCAACTTTCCTGGGGAATAAATTCACTTCCACGTTTTAGAAAGAAAGTAAATTTAAAAAGGGGGGTGCAAATATGATCATTGCTTATTGTTTGTTAATGATATTTTACAAAGTAAAGTGTCTGTTCACAACAGCATTCTGGTTGAATTTTTTAATGTTATCACCTCACTTCATTAGAATTTTCATCTGTCTGATACTCATTGTGCTACCCAGTTCCATAAAGAAACCTAGTTATTAGGATCTCTTATGTTCATTCTTCACATTGCAGTGATGTTTTCCCAGTTACTACTAATCTACTTAACTAATTTTTTTTAAAGGTGCAAAAGTCTTACTATTGTGCCACAAGTTATCTTTAGAGGCCGAGAATTCATACTAGTTCAACGGGTGCATGGAACTTAAAATTCTGTTCCATGGAGGACAGCTAGGTCACTATCAGAGAATAATGGTCTAAGCACCCAGAGTTCAATTATGAGGGATATATCTTCTATTGGTTTGTTAGAAAAATAACCCTAAATATTAGTAGGTTTTATAGATGATCATGGGAATCCATTTACTGTTCTTCATTGTCATAAGGATGCTAGCTTGGTTATTCTTATCCTCTTTATTTATAACATTAATACAATGTAAAGGAAAAAGAAAGTGGCTTATCAGTCATAACTCAAAGGGATAGATACTCAGCTGGTATAAATGGTCAAAAGTCAATGTGGTTTCATATTAGTCTTAACAAGGCCCATCTAATAATAAAGACTGTGTAATTCTACTTTGCACCGCTAAACAGTCTGTTACAAAGTTTGCTATTTTTCTGCTGTATTTTTTTTTATTTTATTTTTTTCAGGGTAGTGTTTTGAACGTAATAAAAAAGCTTGGAAAATGCAGAGGGAAAGAATGAGGAAACTGCTGAAATTGTATGAATAAGCAGTGGCAATGAAAACTGCATGGTACACTTTGAAAAATGGAATGTAAAAATATTATTTTTAATCCAAGTTGAATGAAGTTTTTCATTTATTTGTGTGAACTCAACAATGGTGTATAGTAAATGTAGCTAGCATTACCCATTCCTAGCTTTGTAGTAAGTATTCTGTCAGTGCAGACATTCCAGTGATTACATACATTTTATACTATACATGTATTTGGAGCTATTATAAGAAGCTATTTCATTGGTTTGTTTGCTTTAAAGAGCCTAGGGTCATGAGGTTTTTGTTTGTTTTTTATTATTCCCAATAAACCAATTCCCTCATCTATATCAGATAGACACATTGCTTTGAGCTAGGCTTCTTCCAATTGCTTCATAACTTCAATTACAATCCCCACAGAGTGTATTTTAGAATAAAACAGATGGAAGTATTTTTAGTGTACGTTTTGTACCTGTCCTTTGTGCCATGAGGAAGCACCCACAATGTAGTCCTTACATTTCATCTATATGAAGGAGGGAAAATTGCTACTACAGGACAGCAAAATAACATACTTTTGAGACTATATCAATAGAGTAAGTCATCCCTAGGCATGATTCCCCATTGCCATGCACCTTGTGTTCTCATTCTCAGCAGTATGACATGGGTCCAGAATGCTGCCAGTTTTATGTGATAACATTTTACACTCACTTTGCACTGGGATAAGTGACTACATGAAGTTCTAGGCAATGGAGAATTGGGCCCTTTGTGGCTACTCTGCACGCAGTTCCATTTCTAATGTTCCAGCCATTGCGTCAGTCAAAGATTGGGATGTAATAAACACAGTGTTCATGTAGCTGGAGAGACAAACCCTGTCTATTTTAGGAACAACCATGTTTGCTGTGGGGTCTAAACATGGCTTTCCTGGCCAGTATGAACAGTGAATTCTCTCCCCCCTCCCTCCCTTCCCAAGGAGCTGTACTTCAGATCCACAGTCCTCAAAAACAGGAGCCTAAAGTTAGGTCCCTAAATCCACATTTATGCATCTCCACTATGGGAGGCAGTTTGGTCCGGTGGCTAGGGCAGTGCACTGGGTTTCATCAGTCCTAGGTTCTATACCTGGCTCTCCCACTGACCTGCTGTGGGACCTGGGCAAGTTGCTTCACCTCTCTGTGCCTGTTTCCCTATTTTGTCTATTTAGATTGAAGTCTCTTCAGGGCAAAGGACAGCTATGTCTTTGTACGGTGTCTAGCACAATGTGGCCCTAATCTTGGTTGTGGTGTCTAGTTGCTATTGTAATAATATTAAAAATAATATTTAGCCACCTACCTGATTATGAGACCAGGGAAGCTGTTAGCTGCTCAACAGTTTTGAAAATCAGGGAGGTGTCTAAATATAGGGTTACCATATGTCCTCTTTTTCCCGGACATGTCCGGCTTTTTGGCACTCAAACCCCCGTCCGGGGGGAATTGCCAAAAAGCCGAACATGTCCGGGAAAATGGCGGCTCTGCTCCTCCCCTGATTCTTCGGCTCTGTTTAAGAGCCAAGCTGCTCGAGCGCTGTGGGCTTCAGGCAGCCCCCTTGCCTCCGGAACCTGCGCCTCCAGCCCGGCACCTCCCCTCCCGGGCTCCGGCCGTGCAGGGTCCCGCGGCTATGTGG